AAAGGCTTAGAGTCGACAATTAAGGTATGGGGAGTATTTCCTTCATTGTTTTCAATATGTGATTCAATGTGTTTAAAGCTGATTTAAGGGTTTTGGAGTTTTTGATTGAATTGTTATTGCCTTTCTGATGGTGAGTTCAATGAGTTGAGAGATTTGAATGGATGGTCTGATAAGTTTGAGGCTGATTTGAGAGTAAGGGAAATTAGGCCTTCGTGGCCAAAATCTGTTGTTGAGGTTTTAACCGTATAGGGTAATTGATTATGAGGACCTTAATGACTGTGGGGTAGTTGTAAGAAATTATGGGAATTGGAGGCGTAAATATGATATGGGATTGGCCTAATAAGTCGTACATTTTGTGCCTTTATCGCTGTAATACCTTAGGAATGATTTAGGGTGTTTTAGGGGCATTGGGGAAGGAAATCGTAGAGGTTTTTGGTCTAATTTTGGTGCTAGTTTCGCAAATTGTGTTCTTATGGAGTGTTGTCTTGATGCTTTGATGTTGTGATTTTCTGGATGAATTACCTTGAGTATGATTGTGATTCATATGTGATTAATACATGATTGTATGATGATTCCTATGAGTAATGATGGTGAGTTATGATGTTGATCCCATGAGTTTTTGATGATTATATGATGGCATGATTATTACGATGATTTTGATGTATGATGATGCACCTAATGAGTTTATTATGAGGATGATATTGACGTGTGCATCATGCATTCATATGCATCCGGACTTCGGTTCAGGACCTTAATTTTTGTGGCTTTAGTCCCATTGTGCGAATGTGAGGTATTTTATTGTGCTTCGATTCTCGAGTAGAATCGATCCTACTGTTGTGGATCTATGGAGGGTTGATGGCTCAGTGTCCATCGATTTTTTTTTATTGGTACCATATGCATGAGTCTTGTTGCATTTGCATTTATGTGACACTTTGATGTAATTTATAATGTTGTGGCGTTTGATGTTCCTTGATGATTACAATGAAGTTGAATATGAAAATGACGCCATTTTATATATTGATTCTTATATTGATTATTATGAATCGTTTTACTCACCCTGCCTGTTTGAATGTTGCCTCCACGTGGGTAACGTGCAGATGACCAAGTTTAGCCGTGGATGTCGTCGAGAACTTTTGAAGTTTTTGGGTCGTTGGCCATTGTGGTTGACTTAGAGAGTCATGCTCTGATAGTGTAACATCGGTTGGAGTCTTTGAGTCAAGCTATATTTTATTGAGTTTTGTTATGTTGATTGCCTTGCGGTGCAAGGAAAACTTTGGATTATTATCTTTTTGAGTTCTGTTGCCTTTTGAGTAAATTTTGGGAAAACTTGTTGCTTACGGAGCATTGACTATATTTTAATTATTGAGAAATGTGCGCCCTTTTGAGATGATTTTATTGCGTTCAATATTTTACTCTGATAAATATGATTGATTTGCCATAATTATTGTGAGGTACAAAAGGGTGTTACAATGTTAACATAAAATCAAACATTACATTTTAATATCCAGATGGACGTTTCAACATTTTCATAATATCTTCGAACAATAATGAAATAGCCGCATCCATCTCGACCGAAACTTTTGATTCCAAACAAAAAAAGTATTTCACAAAGCCCTTACACGTGCATCTGTCTTCAACTCATAGTTGTTGAACTCAATTTTGCCTTCATTGTCAAATGACGGTGAATGGTACTCAACCTTCACAATTTTTTGATTGTCTCAATAATGTAAGAGATTTTGCATTATGTATTACAGATCTGTAAAATGGGTGTACCCATTGATCTTAAATTCCCGCTCGGATGTTGCGCTGCTAAAGTAGACATTTGCGACATGTCAATTGATGTTCATTCTGGTGTAATGTATTTTTGTATTAAATGTGATACAAGAGTCTATATTTATAGTAGTTGTAGACAAATATAGACCTCATAAGTTCTATCTTATACCAAGAGATGTTACAGATATGCATCTCCGATACCACCATATTCTCTTATTTCGTAGATGTATTTTTGGAACCTCTCAGAATATTATCAAATTCTTCTCCAGACAGAAACAAAATTTGTGTTAAATGGATATATTATTTGCAAACGACAAACTGTATTAAAATATTTGAAAATGTATATATTACACTTCATTAATATCAATACATGATTACATATAATTAGTTGATGATGAAAAACTAAAGTGAATCGAAAGATTTGTCTCCGGATAAATCTATAAGTATGAGTGGTTTCCTCTTTGACTTTTGTTGATATGATTCTCTTTCAATGTTGCTTAATTTGGTGAACTCTTGCATCCTTTCCACAAAACGACCCGACCAAGTCTCAACTTTTGTTGTTGAAGGAGTTGTCCACTCCACTTATGTAAGTGGTGTAAGGCATACCGGTTTCAAATAAACTTGAACAAAGTATCGTGATTTTGAAAGTCTCCCAATACACAAAATATGATCATTTATATTTTGAGGTGGGGCAATGCGTAATGGAAACATGTTTCCGAAAAACCGTATCTTGTAAGACCTATACAAACTTTGGTCTAAATATGGAGATGCATATCTGAATTCTATCTGGTGTGCATACGGCGATGCATCTCTAAAACAATCTATGATAAAAAAAAGGGTGTTTCAGAGAGGGTGTATGGGGTGTAAATTGAATTATTCCGGAAATGCATCTCCGAATTCAATTTTACAAAATATATTGGGTGTGACTCAATTTTAATGTTTTGCCTGAAGACAAAGGTGCGTTTGAATATGGATCTCTAGAATCTAAGAGACATTTTTAAATTTTCATGAGGTGTTTTTTCACCACATAGAGTGGGATAAGAAATTCTCTAATTTTAAAATAGATTTTCCTAAATGCTCAAAATTTTAGGCCTATAATTTTATGCAACACAACTTATAAATCGACCACTAAGATTATAGCCAATAGAACAAGGTCTCACTTGGATTAAACTGTTTGACCTTTCCAAATTACTCCCTCCAGTCCTTTTTATAAGATACAATTTGTCTTTCTAGATTCATTAAATAATTAATGTAGTTAGTTTATAATACAGACCAGATACATTAATTATTTAATAAATCTAAAAAGGTGAAATATTTCTTATAAAAAAGACCGGAAAAAGTAGCTTCTTACTAGAATGAGGAACATGTGATAATGCTATTGTGCATCAAAATATTAGGAAATTTCATGCATCTTAATTGATGGAAAAACACCATATAAAAATTCGAAAATACTCTTTAGATTTTAGAAATGCATTTTCGAACGCATCCCATAATATATCAAGTACATTCATAAGTGAATCACGCATTCATTTTGTAAAAAAGTCTAAAATATATTTCTAAAATCCAAAAATACATTTCCAAATATTTCTTTCCAGTTTCACAACCAACCAAATTACGAGAACTTTCATCACTAAAGATTATATTTAATAACAATTTTCAACATAGATGGGGAAAATCATGACATAGAACCCATAAATAGTCATTTCACTTATGCATTTCTTCGGTAAAATGATATAGATAAACAACACATGAGATAATGGAAAAAAAATATTTTGAAAATGTATTTTTGAATTTTGAAATATATTTTCATATTAGTTTTTTTTTAAAATGAAGGTGTAATTCATTTATGCATATATTTAGTATATTTTAGAGTGCGTTTAGAGATGTATTTTCGAAATCTAAAAATATTATTGTATTTTTACGAAATATGCTAGTAATACATAAGGTGCATTAAAAAAATCTCAAATATTATTAATGCAATGAAGAACTTCAGAAAGAAAAAAGGTGACAAGATAGACATTGAAAAAACATATGATAATGTAAATTAGAGATACTCTTTAAATACTTCTTTGTTGAGTTTGGTTTTCCTAATATCACAATCAAATTGATTATGCACTGTGTTTCTTTCTCCTCTATATATAAAATGGAATGGTAAAAGGAAACCAAAATTTTCCCCTACTAGAGGACTAAGGAAATGAGACCCTCTCTCCCTTTGACATTATCCTTAGCTATCTCTGAAAAGGGTGGGAATACTAATTGGAAGCCTATGCAAGTCTCTCCCAATGAACCTATATTCTCCCATATTTTATTTACATATGGTGTGCTTCTTTTCTTAAGGATACATATGCTCAAGGAAGAATAATGGAAAATATATTTCAGCGATTTAATGTTGCATCAGGACTAAAGATTAACGGTTCAAAATCAATGACTCTCCTCTCGGGTGGTGTCACTAGAAGAAACGTTGACAAGATTACTTTTTTTTGTCTTTTATCAGGAGTACTATTTCACGGCATATCTATTTTGGATTCCCTATGCTTTTAGGTAGGGTGAAGAAAGAAGCTTTCAATTTCAACGTGGACACATTGAGCATGAGCCCTGCTCATTTTAGCATCATTCGTAATCAACTCTACTGCCTGCTAGCAACTTGACTGTCTGCTAGCATTTGTAATCAAACTGTTCAGCTGACTAGAAACTTCATATGGAAGACAACATTGATTCAGGTAGTCATCGGGTGGGATGGAACAAAATTCACTCAAACTAGAATGAAAAGAGAGGCCAACACTGTTATGCTTTGAAAACTGGCACAACTGAAAGGTTTCACTAACATTTGTTGTTATTCTGATTCAAAAACAGTTATTGAAATGGTCTCTAGCCTATCATAAAATCGCATAGGTTCACTTCAATTATAGCCAACATTCAAGATGTTCTAGGCAAAAATTGGGTGGTGAATATTAATCATTCTTTTAGAGTAGGCAATTTAAGGACATTTTACAACTAATGAAATGGAACAACAATGAACCACATGTTTATTGGAGTCAATTCTGTACGATCCTTCAAAAGTTTATAGACACTCCTGGACAGTGCAGATACAGATACAGGGAAGGATTGTTAACACTAATTGCTATTTTCTTTCTTATAAAAATTGTTCTGATCAGAAGCTTTCCAATAAAGGGGTAACCATGAGAATAACAATAGTTTCAATATAAATCAGATGCCAGCGTGGTGGATCAACGGTGATTTCCTCCTCCATTAAGAGTCGCACTGGATTGAGACCTGCTCAAAACATTAAAATCAAAGATGTTCAGCATTACCATTCAGAGCATATCTTCAAGTCTTCAATAGATTTGAATTGGTGGATGTGATAAAAATGCATGATATCAGAACACAAATCATCATCATTAATTTATTATTTTACTTTAAAATGCATGATACCACAACGTCATAAAAAAAACTTCAGAGTGCGTGTGATAAAAACATATTAAAGTTTGACCAAGAAAGACTGTCTGAATATATATGATAACATAATATCAGAACACAGATCGCAATCAAACTCATGTTGAAAAAAAGACTGAAACTAAGAATACACAACAAAAGATAGTTAGTTGTACAATACAGTACAAGTAAAAAAGGTTGAAAGTTGAACTCATATGCTTCAATGGATTCATAAAACACTAAAACCAATTTGTGTAGCAAGGAACAAATTGGGAGGATTTTGTCTCCAAAGTGGATAATAAGCTCCAGATCAAAATTTAAAACAGATACGTAAAACAATGATTCAAAGTTATGCACTGTTGAACAATGGAAGCACAATCAGGCTTTATGATTCTGCTTAAAGCAAATTATGTTTACTACCTAGTATATCAAAGTCACAATATCCAGATTCATCAATAATTTCAAATAGTGAAAAGATATCAAAATTTAACACGGTAAGAGAATCAAATCATAATTCCGGGGAGGTATATTAGGAATAGACATGAACGAAATCATGGGAAACCAGAGAGCAGTATTACCCAAATGGCTCAAAGTCCCCCGCCCCCACTTCTTCCATAGGCTGTGGAAAGTGGCCCTCTAAACTATTCACCTAAGCTACACACATGTAGTAAGGTCCAGATGCAAAATGCTCACAAAGACATATTAGTCTGGTTAAATGATGCACTAACCAACAAATAGTTACTCAGCTGACAGCTAAACTAGTAAATCTAGGAATTAATCAATATAAGATACTTTCACTTTCTTATTAATAATAATAATAATAATAATTAAAAAAATTAAAAATTAAAAAAAAAAAAAAAGAGCTTCTAAGCTAGCCTCTATTGTGAAATTCAGCATTAAATTATGCACTATCTAGATCTAGGTAGATACATGGAAATTAAACTACCTCACAATAACTAGACCAGATAACTCTTTCACAAGATCTACTGTAAACCTATTGATACTCTAACAGATTAGAACAGTAAACTATGACCAGATTAGGAAGGAACCTTATTTAGACCCCGGTAGAAACAAGACTAGTTAGGAAGTTAAATACCTCAAGATAACTAGACGAGATAATTCCTTCACAATCAGTGTTTATGGTGAGTCAACTAATGCAGCATCCAAGTGTTGAACATTGGGATATATTCATATAGAAATTGGGTTGATTTATTACTTATTGATAGGAGATTTCTTGGAAGTATTGGGGAAATAATCTTGTATCTTGGAAAAGTAAGAAGCAGATTGATCATTCAGTTTAGTGTCGGGGGAAAATATCAAGCGATGGTAGTGGTTACATGTGAACTTATGGGTAAAAACAGCTACTAAGTCAGTTGAAGTTTGGCAGTATTGATAAGATGACACTATATTGTCTAAGATAATCTAAATGCTCTTCACGTTGCATCAAATTCAGTTTTTCATTAATGAACCAAATAATAGAAATTGATTATCACTCTATCAGGGGAGGGGGGAATTCCTAAGGAAATTTCTATTGAGTCAGTCAACTCTAGTGATTGGCTTGCAAAAATTCGCTTAAAATCTCTTCCGAGATCCTCAAATTTAGTTCATTTGTAATGAGATTGGGGCGTATCATCTGTATGCACTAGCATAGATGGGAGAGAAGTATATCCTATTTGGAGAGAATATAACATATCATAAATATTTAACATTTAGTTTTTATTTTTGTAGCTGTCATATCATTTGTTTCCTAATTTATGAAATTTCCAATATTAAATTGTAAATCTAGTACATGTATAACTAATTGTGTTGACTGTTGAAGATTTCTAGAGCAATTTAGTAGATACTTGTAGGGTGAAAAACACAAAGCATTAATAAATAGCTACTTGTAGGGTGAAAGGAACAAGGAGGAAAATAACAAAAGAGCATCGATGTTAACAATATAACACCGAGAACCATAAAAAAAGATACTACAAGATGGAAAGGGATGCACTAGTCGTTAGTTCTTCTCCCCTCTTAAAACTCCACTCCAACTTGATATGCCACATGTGTGAAACCTGAATTTCTTCTGATATAATGTTGTCAATGGCTGATAGCAGATTGTTAAAATTCCGCTATGCAATAGTGCTTTAGCACCACTATATCCACTATTGGCCAACATTTTATACTGAATAGCACATTGCGGAACAATGGCGGCTTGTCCAAATTCCGCTACTGTATAGCATTATAGCACTGCTATGGCCTCTATTTAACAACACTAAAAAGTAAACGATTCAAGTTGGCTGCCACTATCTATTCTTTGCATTTATTTATTGAACAATTGGCATATTTTTAATCAACAAACGAAAATGTATTTAGACAGAACAACAAATGAAAAGATGAAACAATATAAAACTTTTACTATTTGTAACCCATTTATTTTGCCTTGATTAAAAAGCAATTTTGGGGGACAAATCAAATTAGTAAAAGATGTCGTTGATATCTTTGTTAAATGGTCATACATTTCCCTACAATCTCCAGTTTTATATGGTCTATGTTAGTGCTCAAAGCTTTCAATATTTAATCATTTTGCGTGCTAGTTGGCATTCTAAAATTTGCAAACGAACCATATCAATCACAATACGTGAAGAAATTGCTTAGCATCACATTAATCGGGTTGAGGATATTTGTTTAATATAGCACAATAGTCCAGTTCAATGATAATATGAATATAGACTCTCATGTTTATATGTATGTATCATGTATGCATGTAATGTATATATAAGCACATGTCTGCTTGTGTGTATATTATATTGTACCTGCATGATTAGTGATAGGATATTGGTTTTGGGCCTTAGCCCAATAGAAAGGCCTAATAGAGAATCAGTTATAACTGCTTATATCAGAAGGGGGAGGGTAGTTATATAAGGACACTGATAGCAAGGGAGAATTCATTAGTGTATTTTCGGATAGAAACCTTTTGGGTTGGGCAGATGAGAATATCTCTCCTCTGAAGAGCACTTTGCTCTGGGATTATAGGGTAGTTATATAAGGACTCCTCATTCTAAAATGCTTCTGCATTCTCTATTGGAATCTAAGAGCTCTCAAGGAACATAACTCACATTACACGTTACAGTACACACCAACCAACCACTGAATTGTGCAATTTAACAATAGGTAACAAACAGAGAATACCACAAAAGATGAGAAATTGAAATATGTCGTGAAGAGGGGACAAAAAACTAGTAAAAGAGGGTGGTAGCTGTGTTCTCTAAGTTGCTGCACTGATAGCTATTTGAAATAGAATTAGAAAATATATTCGCAATTTCACCTGCAATGCATGACATTCTGTCCAACATTCCCTGATTTTACTTGAAATGCATGGTATTCTAACTTTCCTACTGGATTTATAGTGTGTTTAATAATAGATTCGCAATTTCATTAAAAACTTAGATTACAAACTTTTACCCTGTTCTTATGACAAAAAGGGAAAATACTAAGGATATGACTCCTCCAAATGAGCTTGTCTGTAAAGTGAAAGTAAGGCTATATCTACCATTGATTGAATTAAAAGCTCATTATAATCTTAACCCATTAAGATTGTAGTGGATAAATCTGAACTTGCTTAAAAGATAAAATTCACTTTAGAAGAGCTTTTTTCATATACTAAAACTTTCAGCTTCAGGTGACAAGATTAGCAGACAGAAATGACATCCAAATTCACAGAAGGTGCACAAGATCATAGCTGAAGTAATCTATAAAGTTCAAATACTTAATAGTTACTACAAAATGAGTATGATCTGACAAGGATATTAACATAAGGAAAATACTTACAAATTCAAGACATGGTGCAGCCTAGATATATCAATATGCTAACAGGAATCAAACCAACTAATACCAATTATCTATTTTAAATTAGAATTGCAGCAGAAAGCCTGCCTGCCCGTTTACTCTAACTATTTTTCCTCTGTTTCTACTCAATAAAGAGCGAGGATAGTGTTACGTAAAAACTCCTCTTACAGCATCAGCTGTAAAACTCATGACAGGCGAGAAGAGGAAGATGATGCTTCAATGGAGTGAAGAGGATGTGCCAGAGTATAGAAACGTGCAAGACCACATTGATGACAATGAAGACACCAAACATAGATAATGTGTGGGACACAGAGAGAACATCACCTTAAAGCCATAGCCGCACTTCTCTATTCTATTGTGCTATGCTAGTTTGTGCAATGAGTGGCTATAGTTGAGGGTGTTAATAATGAAAACAATGGCCGGCCTTTTCTATTTTTGTTTTGCTATGCTAGTATGTGATGAGTGGCTAAAGTTGAGGCGGTTAATATTTAAACATCAAGCATGCCATATCAATCGTGTATCTTATTGTGGCCAGCTGTTGCCTGTACCATAGTGGGTTAAGCTATATCCCCAAATGCATTTGACCATAAATTTCTAAAGAAAATTATGGATATTTTCTAGATATATGCATCGGTGTTGGATACAGGTTTAACAGCAATACACGTACGAAATCAATTTTGTTTTGGAGTATTTGTGCTTCATAGTTGGACAGCAGTAAAAGCTAAAAGATGAGTGAGGGAAAGAGATTCAGATAAAACCTCTCAAGTCATAAATCACCATTGAAATTTCTAACATGGTTATGAATGAAAGGCAACTTATATTGGCTAAGCATAGGTTCTAGACACATCAAATTCTCTATCTGTATAAGTGAATCAGAAAATAATTTAACAGAAGAAGTCTGTAAAAGTCCTACCAATAGCTTTTCTTTGCCACAATTTCAAGGCAGAAATTTTAAGTTTAACCGCGAGATAACGCTGTAAGGAAAGAAGATTTTACCAAATAATGACAGAGCTAACAATAACCTAACTCACCAAGAAAGAGGGCACAACACTCAATCTCAAAGAAGAACGTTATAAATCGACAAGACTTCCACCCACAGCAGGTCAACCCAATGGATGGAAAGATCTAGAGACCTTCACCAAGTTATCTTTTCATATAGCATTCAACAAAACAAAACAAATCAATGACATTTGAATCTACACATAACACATCAACCCTAAAATTTCACACAATCAGATTTGAATCTCAGATTTGATTTTCCCACAAAATGCTTAAAATCTAATTCACACATCAAGAAAATTCTTACACACAAGCCAAGTCTAGCCACAAATCAATCAAAATCAAAACAAGAAGAGCATAATTCCCAAATTAGATGATTGAGTAAGAGTGAGTAACCTCTTATGACGCTTTCCTTTCTTAGGACCAGAAGCTTCGAGCTTTGCAATAGGACAGCCACAAGGAGCCCTAAAAAGCAAAAGCGCACGACCATTAATCGGAGCCATTTTCCTCAACTCAGACCTAAGACACTCATAATCAGGATTCCCTTCACTCCCACCTTTCCAAGGAAGTTTATCATATTCACCCAACCCTAACCCCGAACCTGTCCCCGAACCAAATCTCTCTATCTGCAAATCAAACTCCGTCGCTTTCTTCAGTCCCCTACACCCGATCCTCTCACACTTCCGAGATCGGGCGCCACAACACAACTCAACGGTGATCACCGAAGCGATAAAGAAAATAACGAATGCGAGGAGGTAGGGTATGGGGAGAGAGACGGAAGGGAGGAGGAGAGAGAGGGAGTTGAAGATGTAGGAGAAATAAGAGGAGAGAAGGAAAGCACCGGAGAAGAGAACAAGGAGGAGGATAAGAAGGTCTAAGGTGGCGGAAGGAGCGTGTTTGCAGTTACAGAGATTGTTGCAATGGTGGCTCCAAGATGATGATGACGATGAAGATGAAGAGGGCATTGCTGTGGTCAATACAACACCTTCCTGCATGTTCACGTTAAACAAGAAAACACCTTACACCTCCCCCACTTTCTTCCTCTCATCAAATACAACCAAAATTAATAATTAGTGAAGTAAATTAAAAGTTTATTCTTACTAATTACAAATGTATTGTTTTAATTGAAATAATCATCTTGATATAGTAGTGTGTCATTGTAGATAAATAGAGGGGGAATATTTAATAATAAAATTTTAAAAACAAATCTTAAAAATGGGTACTTTAAAGATTATTTTCCGACCGAACATCAAGAGCTTAAAGGTTTCAGGTTAATTGAGATAAATGGGGGAGATTAATTTATAATGGATGTTTAAGCTTAGGAAAAGTGGTGATTCCCTTAATCTCTATTTCACTTTGTATGGAGTATTGTTGAATTATATGGGGTTTGTGTAAAACCTGCATGATTATATTAATTGTTTATTCTAATTTTGCATTGTTGATGTTGATTTCGTTATTATTGATGTGAAATTTGTGTAAAAAAATTGGATTATTGATGTTCATATGTTATGTGATGCTTTGATGAATAAAACATAAATAATTGATGTTGAATGTGTTAGAATGACATTATTTGATGTGAAATTTGTTGCTTATTCGTGTATATCGAGTTCTTGATTTTTATCGGACATGAAATTGGAGAATTTTGAGATCTAGATTTGTTTTCATAAAGAATGCGCAGAAAACACGTTTCTGTAGTGATGATGTGTGTCACCCTAGGTGACAGTCCGACTGTCATCGCGTCACGACGGATGTCAAGCATTCGACGATCGTCAACGATGACAGTTGAGCTTTTCCTAAGGACGACGACGATCAGGGTTGTGACGGTCGAACTATTTGCCATATTGTTGATCGATTGTGATGTTTTTACCGAATTTTCGCAGAGGCCCGATTCCTCGACTTAATCCCTTCTGTTAAGTGATTATTTATTGAAAAAATGATTATGATTGATTATTATTTGTTAAATTGATAGTCGCCTCGTAGTTAGGCAGTGACTTATGTTTAGGTTCGAAGGTGAACCCATGTTTAGCCCTAATAGGCAGTGACTTATGTTTAGGTTCGAAGAACCAGTGTATGATATGTTTTAAGTTTGAAAGAACCAATGTTAGCCTTATCCGACAACTTTGAGAGTTGGCGTAGGAGGTTCAAATGGAGATTATTTACATTTGTTTGATCATGCATCATGTATATCGGAGATTAGCTTGAGACTTCAATCAAATGATTAGGACTTCGGTCCAGTGTCAAGGATCACTCAATAAAATAACTTTGATATTCAGGACTTCGGTCCAATGTTTAGGACTTCGGTTCAGTGTGAATTACTCAGTAAAATAACGCTGATATCCAGTGTTAGGATTTGGTACCACATGCATAGAATTATAGGAAATAAGCATTGTGTCATACCCCAAATTTTATCCCTAGATTTCATCATCATTTACATAGCATCCAACACTTTTTAGGTATGTCATTCATGCATAGTTTAAAGGTAGGAAAACACTTAGAAGGGGGGGTTGAATAAGGGGTTTTCAAAAACAATTATGACAATAGAAAATAACAAGTTATTTTTATCCTGGTTCGTTTGAACTCAAACTACTCCAGTCCACCCGGCCAAGGTGATTTCGCCTCTCTCAAATGAGGACTTAATTCACTAAATCAAAACCTGATTACAGTGATATCACTAAGACAAATTGACTTAGTCTTCTCAAGAATCCTGACCACAACTTGGTCTCTCAAGGAACTTTTACAAAGATAAAATACAATGTGTTTAAGTGCTTCTAAAAAGCTATTATCACAACTGTGATTTTTACACAAAATGAAGAACAAATAAAACTTATGTGTTTGATGTAGAAAGTTGTTTGATGTACTTGTGTTTTTCTTTGTATGGGTTTCTACTTTGATTGTTTTTCAAATGTTCCTTGGATTGTTTTTGGAATGCTTCTTGGAATTTCTTTTTCTTGAAGTGTTGATGGAGACTTCTTTATATACTCCACTTTCTCAAATAGTGTGTAGATGAAAGTACTGTAGGATGTAGACAGAAAGGACAAATACTTTTCGTCTTGATTTGACATTCCCTTTTTGCCTGAATTCATGTGCCATACACGAATGAGAAATAATACTGTTGGTAGACATTGGGTTTAGTAATGTATCTTTCTTGAACAATATATTTTCAAATGAACAGATATGAAAAATAATTTTGCATCAGATCCTCTGATGATGTTCCTTGTTCTTCTTTATCAGAGTCACTCTATCCAGAGTTTTGCAGCAAAGTGCTTAGCATGAATGAATGATCAGAGTTGACTTGATTCTCAGAGCCTCTGTACTTGCAGCGTTTAGTTCTCACAGAGTCTTCTGAATATACTGAATCTTTATACTCTGCGCTCAGAGTCTTCTGTAGGTAGCGCTTCAGAGTCTTATGCAGCTAGCGCTTCAGAGTCTTCTGCAGCTGCACTTCCTACGCTAAGAGCTTTGCGTTATATAATGTTCAGAGGAATTCTTTTTGTATTCAGATGAATATTTATTTGATATCTGAAACAAAAACACTTGAACAAAATTAGAGTATATATTTTCTCTATACAAAATTTCATTAATGTTATCATCAAAACATTGAGATATATTTAAGAACCAATCTGTATTCCAACAATCTCCCCCTTTTTGATGATGACAAAAACTATACGAAATTTTGTTCAAAACAAGAAAAAAATATCTCCCCCTAAGATTATGAATCTCCCCCTGAAATGAATACTGCTAGAAAAAATAAATACTTCCCTTTCAGCACTAGTATTCTTTCCAGTGTCAGAGTTAGCTTTGTAGACTTTCTCATACCTTGTTCAGAGTTAATTCTAAGGATATTATCATATGAGAAGTTTTTAGATCTGAAACACTTAATTCACCATTAGTTGTATTTTATCATGTATGAGTTACCATTTTGTATCTGTTTATATGAATAATCAAAATCTCCATTTTCTCCCCCTTTTTGTCATATCAAAAAGTGATTTCAGAAAAAAATCATTTAAGACAAAAATTATCAGAGCAAGAAAACAATTATAACAGATAAGCAGAAGAAAAACAATCAGATGCATTCATTTAAAGAACTCAGAAGATAACAAAAATAAGCAAAAACATAGATGTGCACAGACAAAAAAAATGATTTCAAGCATTTAATGAGATTTGACAAAAGTGGGGGAAAACGAGAATTGCAATAATTCAAACAGTACCTCAAACGACGCCTCACTTTGTACACTTCACCTTTTCAGATTTCATGTGACACGTGTTTGATATTTAAGTGTCTCTAAAACTCTTTAGAAAATGAAACGTTAGCTAGCGTTCAAATCCTCTGAAGTTTGTTAGTTCAGAGTTTCACAAAATAAATAAGGTAACAAATAAAATTACAGATGCAACACTTCAGAATATAAACATTAATCATTTTTCATCTGAATAAATTTGCTTCTGAATAATAATTTTATTCTGGATAAAAATCCATACTAACATTTTTTAGAATAAATTTAAGTCTATCTTCAGCAAGGGGTTTTGTAAAAATATCAGCCCATTGATGGTATGTATCAACAAAATTTAAACTTAAAATTCCCTTCTGAATATAGTCTCTGATGAAATGATATTTAATTTCTATATGCTTTGCCTTAGAATGTAAAATAGGATTTTTAGAGAGGCAAATAGCAGAAGTGTTATCACAAAAGATAGAAATGTTACTCTCACATATCTGATAGTCTTCCAGCTGACTTTTCATCCAGAGCATCTGAGTACTACAACCAGCAGCAACAATATATTCTGCTTCTTTAGTTGAGAATGCTATTGTGGGTTGCTTCTTGTTGTACCATGAGATCAGATTGCTTCCCAGAAACTGACAGCTTTCAGAAGTACTTTTACGTTCAACTCTGTCTCCAGCATAATCAGCATCACAGAAGCCAACTAATTTAAAATTATCATATCTTCTGTAACACAAACTCACATTAGTAGTACCTTTCAGATACCTCAGAAGTCTCTTAACAGTTGTTAAGTGAGATTCTCTAGGATCTAATTGGAATCTAGCACAAAGACAACCACTAAAGAGAATATCAGGTCTAGAAGCAGTCAAATACAGAAGAGAACCAATCATACCTCTGTAGAGCTTCTGATCTACCTTTTTACTTACCTCTTCTTTTCCTATAGTGCTAGTTGGATGCATTGGAGTCTTAGCTGACTTACTCTCTGTCATGTTGAACTTCTTCAGAAGCTTCTTCACATACTTTTTCTGATGTATGTAAGTGCCTTCTGGAGTTTGATTGACTTGAATTCCCAGAAAGAATCTGAGTTCTCCCATCATGCTCATTTCAAATTCTGCCTGCATAGACTCAGTAAACTCCTTTCCAAGCGTAATATTTGTTGTTCCAAAAATAATATCATCTACATAAATCTGAAGATTAAAATGTCTTTCTTAATTGATTTAACGAAAAGAGTAGTATCAACCTTTCCTCTGATAAAATTATTTTCCAGAAGAAAATTACTCAGCCTCTCATACCAAGCTCTGGGAGCTTGTTTTAAGCCATAGAGTGATTTCTTTAATTTAAAAACATGTTCTGGAAATTTTTCATTTTCAAATCCAGGAGGTTGATGAACATAAACTTCTACTTACAATTAAGCCATTTAAGAGAGCACTTTTAACATCCATCTGATACAGAGTGATGTTATTCTGTGCAGTAAAAGAAATAAGCAAACGTATAGATTCTAACCTTGCCACAAGAGCATATGTCTCTGTGTAATCAATACCTTCTTGCTGACTGTAGCCTTGAGCAACCAGTCTAGCCTTGTTTCTGATGACTTCTCCTTGCTCATTCAGCTTATTTCTGTAAACCCATTTTGTTCCAATAATATTAAATCCTTTTGGTCTTGGAACCAGATCCCATACATCATTCCTTGTGAATTGATTTAGCTCCTCTTGCATAGCAAGTATCCAATTATTGTCTTGCAGAGCTTCATCCATAGAGGTAGGTTCAATAATTGACAC